CTGATTTTGCGCAACGAAGTGCACATCGAAAGGAGTGCAGCGAGGTCTTCCGCTGAAATTGTCGCATTGCTGAGATCCAGGAGTTGAAGCTTGCTTTCGTTCATTGACTGGGTTCCGATGCAAGTCGAGGGTCTCATCACGGGAGACTCGAATTCTGCAGACGCAAACCGCAGTACGGCGAAGCCTGGATAATAAAAACAACACAATCGAGGAATCTGGATTAAATAACACACGTCATACAGTTGAGTCCTAAAACTTTCAAGTTTCAACAGCGGAGAAAGAATAAAAATCCAAACCCAATCTGTTCATAGATCGAAACAAAAATATGTAGTGACAAGAAAAGGTCTTGGTTTTGAAAATAAAACACATCAAAGCAAAATTTTGACTTGAATTTATCCCAAATGGGATTACTTTTTCTTTATACATAATTCCTAGTTGAAATTTGTTTAAAAAATCGCTTCAAGGATCTCAGTGAAAAATTGTATACCTGCTCATTACGCGCACCATCTTTTCTGCCCCATTTCATTTTGAAAAAATTGCGCGTGGTACTTGAGTAAATACAGTACTGTACTTGATCAATCCGTTACCAGGAAAATTCCAGGGATAATCTTTTCTTCATTTTCAATAACACATGTCATCACTTCTTGCATCAAACGTTAGGCATAAATTTCAAAATCTTTTCCAGTAAGATCTGACGAAGCCCGTTTTTTAAAAACGTGAAATTTTTCTAAACAATTTAAGATTTGTGCACTTTTGAAAAAAAAAAATCTCTCAAGATGTTTTTCAAACGAAAATTGTCCGTCAACACAAGACCAAACCTTTTCAAGACGCTGCAAAACATAACTTTTCTAGAATCTTGGACACCCAACTGTTGAGAGAACAACACCTACTGCAAAATCAAATTTTTACCGCTTTCGAAATTGTTCCTCGTTTCGATCATTTTGAATATGCAAACCTGCTGGAAATTAGGATTGCTCAGCATGTAACGAATATGTAATCAAAACACAAAATCAACTACAGAAGCTGATTTCAACATCAGTCAAAAATAATGATCGTGGAATACCGAAAAATTCGAATGCCCTCGGAACACTAGTTTCAACGTACAGTACTTGCAAAATTACGCGAGACCCGAGAAACAGATAAGTTCCAAAATATGTAAAGATTCGATTCCATTGAACAATTTGACATCGCGAAAAATTTTCGCAAGTCCAAATTGCCAATTTAAAAAAAACTTACCAAGCGAAAGTAAGTGCGACACGGTGCCTGATTCCACTCTCCGGCTGCCCAAGTCGAAAAATTGCCACAGGGATTCGTCGTAAGCGAGTCGACGCCAACGCTTACACACTCGTGCACACGAAGCCAACACGGGTTTCGGGAGCCATTCGAAAATCATCAAAATAATTTCATCACTGAAACGGTCCATGTAAGGCACTTTCGTGAGAGCCCGATCCGTGATGCATCGGATGACAAAATGACCAGACGACTCGAGTTCGTGGGTCTTTTTCGCCACAGTTCGCAGGGGTTCCACATTCTCCTTGGCTTCCGGCTCCTCGGGTAACGAGACTGAAGGTGGCGGACACGCGTTGATTTCCGAATCTGGAATCAACTCGATTTCCAGTTCCTTCAGCACAGCTGGGTCGTAGGTTTTGTCCTTCAAGGACCAAGTTGCCCTACCACCGTCCCCAAAGCTCTGATCCATAATCTCACACTTCCGAAACAATTAAGGCACGAATTATCTGTGGAATAAATGGCATGAATTATCAATCAGCGAGGGGAAAGATAAAAAAGATTGATGACATAACAAGTGCTCTCACAGAAAAGTGAAATTCCCTTAAAAGCAATTTGTTAAAGAATGCTTGAAAATTTCAGGAACACTACTCACTTCATCATGCGATGAACATGCTCAATCGAACTTCGAAAAGCAGTTCAAATTTAATATAAAATCGCATTCAGGATTTAACTGATTGAAAACTTCATCACGGTATTTCCTTCGGTTCGAAAAAAATGAAGAAAAATTCACCTCGAACAATTTGGAATCAATTACGACGCTCGACCACTTCTCTCTGCCGAATTTCGGAAAAAGGTAAGAATTGCGCGATGCACTTGAGTGAATAATTTACGCAATATTACAACCTTAATGCTGATACACATCTAAGAGCCCCTCTCTTTTCTGCAAGACACAAAATACAGGAAATCGACAAAAAAAACATTGCGGACACGATCACATCACCAACAAGTCATTTAATGACCCAACAAAAAAAGTGATCACCCGAAGACATTCTCGGCTTCGTCCACCGGGAAGGAAAGTGAGCGTTGCTTCACTTCCCTACCAGCCTTCGTCATAACACGATTGTCATATTTCGTCATACTTCCCAACATTCTCCGGTAGAAGCCCGGGGTTCGGTACTTCGAATTTTCCCACAGTGTTTTGCCGCAGAAACTGCCGTCGAAGATCTTGATCGGATTCAACACAAACCGGGGGCCGATTTCGTTGAGCGCACCAGATTCTTCGTTTATTTCGTAGTTTCTAAACCAGATTTTTTCGTCAAGGTAAGAGAAGACGAATACGTGGTCTATGAATGGCTGGCTGTGAGGGTGGAACCTCGGTGTGTTGAAAACTTGAGAGATCAGCTCCTTCAGCACTTTGCCATGAGCAGAGGATTCGAAGTTTTCACTGAAGGTAAGCAGAGCCCTTGAGCCTCTCAAACAATTTCCTGTCAACTTCAGTTCGGCCATTGTATGAATATTCTCAACCTATTGAAAGCAAGAAAGAGATTTGGAAATTTGTAATGGATACGGAGAACGGGCAAAATATTTTTTGTGTACCTGGAATTTTGCGCTAGGACCTCCTGGAACGTTCGAAAGCCAGGCATACAAGTCCCGCTTCCGTCGAGCTTCAAAGAAAATTGATTTGCTGCAATTCTTCATCTCACAGATCTCGTTGATGGCCGACAATGCTTCGTTCTTGTCCTTCTTGGCCTCCTTCTTTGAGTGCGGGAGAAGATTCCGCAAGTCTTCCATCAAGTGCCGGTGAAGATGTGTGATGCCGCGAGTGGCGAAAATGAGAACGCGTTGTTTGTTCATCCAGCGTTTAGCTAATGGCGGAGGGTCGTCCGAATGCCTCATTGCGGGAAGGACAACTTCATCCGAAGCAATCTGTTTCGCAGATTTCATCTTCTTCGCCTGAGGCACATTCTTTTGCTTCTTGGGTCGTTTTCGAGACGTCAGCACGGGTTGTGCAGCTTTACCCGTTTCACTCCCGCGATTTAATGCACTGAGTAAAACGAACTTTCCAACCGATTCTTCTTGCGCAGGCATGTCTGGTCTCTTGAAAGTACATAAAATAGCATAGATTTTACACATGACGGTAAATGCACACATTTTTCCTCATTTCCTAAAAAAAATTCCAACGAAGCTTCTGCGCCGCATAGGTCCCTTCAGCAACATTATCACAAGACTCATGCATTCACGCAGGGAATATGGAGATGTGAATTTAGCTTTGAGCGAGGAAAACAGAATCTGTGAAAACGTCTGCGGCCAACTCGAGTAAACAAATTTAACTATTTTCGGATCACAAACGAAGGACGTGTGAAGATGCGGCTGATCAATTGGCGGTTTCTCGGTTCATCGTCAGCTGTGGGCTACAACTTAGGTGGGAAAGCTGAAGGTACAAAAGTTTTCTGGAAAACCATAGGTAGTATACAGTACAGTACTGTAAACTGCACTGATTACTGAAGGAAATAGAGCATAGAAGACTTCCGGGATACAANAGATCTGATCCTAGTGCATCTTTTTCAATTTTGCAGTGAAAACACAAGAAATGGCTAGTTTTGCGGTTGCGGTGCTTCTGCTGGTGTTGCTGGTTCATCCGGACACGTCATGCGGGAGATGTGTGGTCAAAGATGGCCGCCTGCATTGCTCCGAAGCGTGTGATGCAGACGCGGTTCGAGCGCCCGAGTTCGAGGGAACAATCGTTTTGACTGGTCGGGTCCTTGATTTTGGATGCTTAGAGTTCTTTGGCATCAAGTTATGTTCAAATGGCGAGGTACTGAGTGAGCATTATTGAGTTTGTCCTTTTGAATATGCTCAGAGGGTGGAATTGCTTCGGCCGACGAGATGCGAGGGGAATTTCAAGGCTTTGGCCAGGGATCCCGTCAAACTGTGCATCGGGTACGAACAAGCCAATGTTCCTGCCACCGAGTTTGCTTTGACATCGACGGAGGTGACTCAGCTGTTGTCATCTACAACTTTAGCGTCGCAGGAGACGACGGCGTCGGTGGAGGCGACATCTACGGCTCAGGTGGTCCTGTCGACATCTGCCGAGCCATTCTCAACGACTGCGGATACTGGCAGATTCTTGCTGGCATCTACAATAAGAATAGAAACTACGACCGTCCCTGGTAAGGGATTCCTTTAAACATTTTTTATGGTCGTAATTAATTTATTCCCTTTCTTGTATCAGCAACGGTGAAGCCATCCATTCTGCTCTCGGTTTTGAATAACTTTTCGGACAACCCTGAGACAACTCTTTTTTCTGGAGAGAGGGCGAATATCACGCTAACTGTCATTGAAGGGAAAGCTGTCTTGGGTGCCTCAATAACAACCAAGGTCCTCTCTAATTGGGCTATTGGACTGATAAGCGGGTTGAGTCTGATGGTCTTTGGTTTGGCTACTGGATGGTTGGCGCACTGCTTAAGAAAAAAGGTACTTTTCTTCTCCTTTTGCACCCTGTTTGTTAGATGTAACCATTTCTTTTGCATGGTTCTTTTCTTGCAACTATCTCGTACTAACAGTATTGTCCGAAACCACGTAAAAATGACGTTAAACCAAAGTCAAAAATTGAAGAAATTGAGATGAAAGACTTAACTCCTAAACCAGTTGTTTTGCATGCAACCTCAGTCAACGAAGTAAATGATGGATTTGCAACTATTAGGTCGCGCATTCCGCGAATGACCTCTTTCAAACCAAGTAAGACTTAGCTTGTTTACGTGTTGTTGCATGGCTGCATGGCTCTTTGGGTGTTTCCCTTGTTTGCTTGTTCTCAGCCCTGGTTGCTGCCATACCTGAGGAGGGCAGAGGAGCTGTGGCAGATCCTGACACCCNCCATACCTGAGGAGGGCAGAGGAGCTGTGGCGGATCCTGACGCCCCTGACAACTCCAGCGTCGTCTCCTTTACCACCGCCATTGTCGGATGAGGTGTCACCAGATTTGTTATCCTTGGATCCTGTTCAACTTGATCTGCCTGCAATCCTTCCGACTCCGGTTTTGGCTGATCTCGTTCCTGTTTTTAATGAGGCTCAAAATACGGCGGTCAATACAAGCTCAGATGATTTTGTTTTGGTGACCGATGAATTAGACGTGTAAACGTTAGGAAGTCATCAATAAAAGCGAGCTTTGTACGGAGAGAAATTCTGCCTTGAAATCATTTTCAGTTCGTACTCAGGGAGAGAATTCCGGTGGAAGGGTTCATACGGATTCTGGGGTACTTCGGTGCGGGTCGGGAAGGGATGGATTTGGTTACAAGTTCGACACGCGCCGACATGTCATTCAGATCTATAGCTTCCAAACGTCTTCTTCTCTGTAAA